AACAGTTGTTTCCCTTTTTGGGGGGGATGTCTTTGGGATATAGTCCTAGCAGTGGTATTGCTGGATCAAAGGGTGTGCACAGTTTTATAGCCCTTTGGGCATAGTTCCAAATTACTCTCCAGAATGGTTGAATCATTTTACAACTACACCAACAGTGAATTAGTGTCCCAGTTTTCCTACATTCCCTTCAATATCCAACATTTTACCTTTTTGTCATATTAGCCAGTCTGAAAGGTGTGAGGAGGTACCTCAGAGTTGCTTTAATTTTCATTTGTCTCATCAATAGTGACTTAGAGAATTTTTTCATATGCCTATAGATAGCTTTGATTTCTTTGTCTGAAAATTACCTGTTCATATCCTAACAAAACACTTTTGAGGAGGGACAGGGTGAAAAGAGAGAGAGAGAGAGAGAATAGAATAGACAGGGGGAAATAGGGTGAAGAGAAATACAATTAGCAATCACAACTCAGAAAAAAAATTTTGAAGAAATTTTCTCTGATATAGGCCTCATTTTTCAAATATATAAAGAACTGAGTATAAGAGCCATTCCCAAATTGATAAATGATCAAAAGATATGAACCATCAGTTTTCAGATAAAGTAATCAAAGCCATCCACAAAAACATGAAAAATATGTACCAAATCACTATTGATTATAGAAATGCAAATCAAAACAACCCTGAAATATCACCTCATACCTATTAGATTAACTAATAGGACAGAAAAGGAAAATTACAAATTTTGAAGGGGATGTGGGAAAATTAAGACATTAACGTACTGTTGGTGGAGTTGTGAACTGATTCAACCATCAGGTAAAGCAATCTGGAGCAATGCCCAAAAGGTTATAAAAACATGCATACTCTTTGAGCGAGCAATGCAACTACTAGGTCAGTATCCCAAAATAGATTTTAAAAAAAAGCAAAAAAGAAAAGGACATATATTTACAAAAAAATATGTATAGCAGCTCTTTTCTGGTGGCAAAGAACTGGAAATTGAGGGGATACCCATTAAATATGGAATGGCTGAACAAGTTGTGGCATATGACTGTACTGGAATATTATTGTGCTATGAGATTTAATGAGTAGGACGCTCTAAGAAAAACCTGGAAAGACTTACATGAACTGATGCAAAGTGAAATGAGTAGAACCAGGAGAACACTCTATACAGTAACAACAATATTGTAAGATGATCAACTGTGAATTACTTAGCTATTCTCAGCAATACAATGATCTAAGACAATTCTGAAGGACTTATGATGAAAATACTATCCATCCTCAGAGAAAGAACTTATGGTGTCTGAATACAGTTAGATGCCTACTTTTTCTTGTTTTACTTTATTTTTCTGGGAGATAGTAGCGGTCTATGTTTTCTTTACAACATGACTAATATGGACATGTGTTTTGCATGACTATATATGTATAACCTATATCAAATTGCTTGCCTTCTCAATAAGGGGAATGAGGATGGAGGGAGGAAGAGAATTTGGAACTCAAAATTTTAAAACAAATGTTAAAAATTGTTTCTACATGTTATTGGGGAAAAATAAAATACTAAATAAAAGATTAAAAATCAGTTCAGCTAGGTTCTCATTGTCCAAAGAGATTAAAATTCAGGTAGAGCTGACCCAGCTATGTGAAAAGAAGAGCAGTATGTCACAGCAGAAAAATGATTGGGTTTTTAGTCTGAAAATAAGAATTAAAATCCTGCCTTAACCATTTAGCTAGCTTTACTCCCACAGATAAACCACTTAATCTCTCTAATTTTTTTTTCTCAAATCTAAAATGAATGGTTTGGGATAGATAATTTTGAAGGTTTCTCCTAGCTCTATTAATCTATGTGCATTTTTATTGCATTCTATGATGCTGTTGTATCTGTTGGCAGAATCATATGAAAATCAAGGTATTAATAACATCTTTGGAGGTCTGCACATACCCAGGGAGTTAGTTAGTTTTCCCCAGTGTGTACCCTAATATTCTTAATATACAGCTTCTAAAACCCTTTAGCACGGACAAAATAGTTGATAAGGATGAGAGACAAGACATGGCTCAAGCCTTCTGAATGTAAGCCCAATTCTTTTTCTGCCATTCTAAACTTTCTATTAATATACCTATCTAGGTGGTTAAATTTAAGCCATATTTTGAACGTAGAAATGTTTATGAAAACCCCTGCATGTTGTGTCCTGCTACAGGAATTGAGGTTTGTCAGAACTCATTTTCTTGTTCATACAGGCACATTCCCCACCTTGTGGGAGTTTTTAGATACAGTGGCATAAAAAAACCTTCTATGATGCCAGTATGAAATTTGCAGAGGTTGGCTTATGTCTTACTAAACTAATCTCTAGGAAATGTATGGACTCAAGGAATAGTCATTAATGGTTTGATGTTGACATCCATGGAAATCTGCAGTGGAATACCCTGTGAATCTCTACTGAATTGTGTTCATATTTTAACATTTTTATGTTTGAATTGGATAAAGGCATATAATGCATGCTCATCAGATATGCAGGTGGCATAAAGGTGAGAGAGATAGTTATCCACAGAATGACAGACTAAGGATCCAAAAAGGTCTTAACAGGATATGGTTCAGAGGCTAAATCTATTAACCAGAGATTAAACAGGGATAAATGTAAAGTTATACACTTGTGTGAAAAAAAAATCAGCTTCATGATACAAGATGGGTTAGACATGTTTACACAACAATTTGTCTAAAAAAGATCATGAGTAGGGGATAGTTAGCTGACTTCAGGTTCAAAGTGAATCAGAAGTATAAGTATGTCAGCCAAGGGTGAAAGCAATCTTGGACTGCATTAAAAGCATACCTTTCGAGAGTAAGGAGGTACTTCAGTATTATCTGCTAGTCTCCTCTAACATTGTCACCAGGCTGGTGTAGTCTCTCATCATCTCATTCATGAATTACTGCAATAGCTTGCTGTTTGTTCTCCCGGACACAATCGTTTCATACTCCAGTTTATCCTCCACTCAGCTGTCAAAGTCATCTTCCTAATGTGCAGATCTGACCATATCATTCACCTGCTCAATAGACTTCAGTGGTTCTCTATTGTCTCCAAGGTCAAATATAAAATTTTCTCTCTAGTGTTCAAAGTCTTTCATAACCTGTTCCCACCACTACTATTCTAGTCTTCTTACACCTTACACCCCACTCTACATACTCTGCATTCCCACAACACTAGACTCCTTGTTCCTCAAATAAAACACTTCATCTCCTGACTCTAGGCATTTTCACTGACAATTCTATTTTCATTGGAAAGTTCTGCCCCATCTTCTCTGTAGCTTGGATGCCTTGGCTTACTTCAAGTCTCAGCTAAAATCCAACTTTCTACAGGAAGCCCGTACTAAGCACCTTTAATGTTATTTCCTTTCCTCTGATGATCATTTCCAATTTATGCTGCATATATCCTGTTCTCAGATAGTTGTTTGCATAGTATATCCCACACAGGATTCCTTGAGAGCTCATTGAGAGCAGGGACTGTCTTTAACCTTTCTATGTATCTCTAGCATTTATCATAGTGCTTAATACATGGTGGGTCCTTAATAAGTATTTATTGACTAATTGACCAGACAGATAAAATCTAGGCAAGTTTGTCCAGTTATAAGCAACATAGTTTAGGAAGGACATTGACAACCTGGCAACTATCCCCAAGGAAGGTGACCAGGATAGTGAAGGGTTTTAAGTCCATGCCACATAAGGATTGGTTGAAAGAACTGGGGTTGTCGTTTTGAAGAGATCCTTGGGGCACATGATAGCTTATTCAAATATTTTGTAGACTATCACGTGGGAAAAGGATCAGACTTGTTCTACTAGGCCCTGGATAAGGGACACAATGATTGACAAAAGTAGTATATCAATATGGAAGCAAAGTCAAGGAAGTTAATGAGCACAGATTGTTTTTATATTTGATTATTTAAGTCAGAGGTGAACTTGTAGCCTCAAGTGCACCCCTTTGACTGAATCCAAACCTCACAGAAGAAATCCCCTTCGTAAAAGGATTTGTTCTGTAAAACTTAGACTCAGTCAAAAGGCTACACCCAAGGACCTAGAAAGCCACATGTGGCCTCAAGGCTGCAAGTTCACCACTCCTGATTTAAGTGTTTCCTTGAATTGACTGTTTTCCAATTGTTAAATTGTTTTCCAATTGTTAAATATTATTATCATTACAACAAAAATTTACTATAAACCAAGTGTGTGAAATACTCACTGTTCAATGGTAAGGAGAGATACCAAGTTTAGAATAGATAAGGTTCCTGTCCTCACGGATCTTAGCGGAAGTACAATATAGACACATAACAATACAATACATAACACATAACAGACACATAAAATATATATCTACGATTACATCAATTTGAATATCTCCAGCAATCTAGATGTCAACCCAAATGACCTGATACAAACCTGTATATACATACACCTATGGTAGTCAGGAAAGAGGCTTATTCCATGCTTGATTTTAGAACTAGGGGCTTCGATCTAAATCCCTTTAGCTGCTAGAGGGAAGAAGCAAAACACTCAAGTTTTCCCCAGAATTCTGAACTCATCAATATGCCACTTAGTCTCTGCATATCACAGCTTAGTTTGCACTCTCCAATATCTACACCAACAAGTTGCCAACTCAACCCCAGGGTTGAAGGAGATATTGTAAGGCTAGTTCCCATGTAGGCAAATCAATCTCCCCAAAACTCCCTTCCCCACCCCTGCCCAAGGCTGCCACATCATATGAATTGGAAAGATGGATTCTCTGGTGTCTGGCAGTTTTCATTTTCTCTTTCCCAAAAGTCCCTGCCCCTAGGGATTAAGGTCAATCTCTTTCCTCAAGTCTGCTCCCTTATTCATTGCCAAAATCAGGTTACTTTAGAAGTAACTTTAATTAAAGAGCTATAAAACTAATTGCCAACGTCATTTTGGCAACATGTTGTAAAAGAAAATATTTGAGAACAATGTCAAAAATTGACTTAAATGTCTTATGTCTTCTTTTATATTCCAGTGGAAATGTTATGCCTGGAGAAAATTCCCCTTATGAAATAGGAACACCATGTGCCAAGTGCCCAGAGTCCTGTAGCAACAACTTGTGCAGTAAGTTTGAGGGAATTAATTTACTTACCATGAGGATTCAAAAATAATTTCAACTTTTATTTTGGAGGAGTAATATATCAATTGAAACCATTGAATCATGACCAATTACAGATGGTTTATTTGAACAGATGACTCAAACTGCTCTAAGTGATCTCAGTATTTCAGTTCAGTGTATTATGATCAGGTTACAGTGAAAAATAATGTTATACCTTGTGAATTAAGAGGCATAGTCACAGTCAGTTTCTGGGCATTTTCAAAAATAAAATACAATAAAAGCAAACTATCAGCTAACATTTATGTCATGATCATGGCCCACAAGAAAATGTTAAATTATCCATGCCTAGTCCATACATTACATGGAAGAAAATCAAAATCCAATGTATCTCTAAGTAATGATGTTGCCTTGAATTTTACAAAGGTTAATATATTACCTTTAGTCACAGTATTAATATTTTTATAAGGCATTTCTCTGCTGCATGTTTGATTCAAGGGCTTCACATAGGACTTGAAGGTATGTGTGTGGCCCTCTAGCCATGGTTTAGATATTCCATTTTTGGAATATTTGGATATTGTTGTACTTTACACCAAATATTCTGCCAAATATTTTTCTTGCTGAATTGGTCATTTGTTATATTATAGGATGCAGTTAGCATAGGCTATATGGAGAAGGAGAATGAAGCTGAAATTTTTTCAATGTTTGCTTTAATTTCAGCTAATCCTTGTGAGTACACTGATGGTGCTTCAAACTGTCCTCAACTGAAAAAGCAATTTTCCTGCAATAATCCAACTGTCAAGAAATATTGTAAGGCTTCCTGTCAATGCATCAATAAAATCTATTAAACTTCTCATTGGAAATTTGCTTCCATCAACAAGGATAATTGGAACACAGTAATACCCCCAATGATTATTTTAAAATTATAACATGCTTGTAGTGAAGCCATAAGATACTATTCCTGATTAGTTTCAGAAATTAATGTCATTCGATTCTGGGCATCAGTTTCTTTTTACCAAATCATTTAGGGGTTTGCATATGTCCTATAAATGATGTCTTAAACTGACTGACTGAAATTTAAAAAAAAAATAAAACAGTTGTAAAACCACCTTTGTTTCTTAGCTTTAAATTCCTAGGTCAATAATATGAAAAAGAGCACAAACTATAATAACTTCTTTTTTTATCTTTATAGTATTATATTTTTTTTTTCAGTGTTCTTTGCATAAATAAATGGATTGAAATTATGTTTATAATTCAGCCATATGCATCACTCTAAGTTCTGAGATCACAACCACTCTGGTCCTGAGCTAACTTTGAAAATTCTGTTTTTAAAAAACAAAATACAAAAAGAGTTTATCAGTCTCTATGCAAATTACTTCTCTCCAGGATGAAGAATTAATTCTAATATGCACTTCCTACTTTGTCATTATGGCCTTTTCTGTAACTTTACTAATATCAATCAGCTTTTAGAATAAAATATTTTCAATTACTCCATCTTAGTCTGGTAACAAATGATTCTTGGATAGTATCCACAATGCTGACAAATCTTAACCATACCTAACAATTTGAACCCACTTTCTGATTTGCTTTATAACTTGGCCTATCAGGAAGGTACCCATTCAAAAAAGCTTTCCCAATGTTGAGAATTAAATTCAGACAGGAAGAATCCTTTACATTAATCTAAGCCAAATCTATAGAAAACAGAATCATTGCTCAGATCTACTCATTGATATGCATGGTTCCAAAACAGTGCAGGACTTAACAGTGGATCACAAAAGATCCCCAGCAAAGCAGATATGCATGACATAAAACTTTGATGTATCGCCCTCTCTGGAGCTACAACTTGAGCTACACACAATAACAGCAAAGAAGAGACAGGAAAAAAAAACTCTGGATCACAAAATCTGAATCATAAATCCTTAGAGCTTTATCTGCTATCCACTTGCCTGCTATTTCTTATTCTGCACTGTAATTTAGAGAAGAGTTGTGCTGGTCTGACAAGGATGGACCAACGTTAAAGGCCAGAAAAAGTTGGATTAAATATTTCTCTGACTTTACCACATGTAGGTAGAGCCTCTGATGATTCTTTTCAGTGTACAAACCTGGTAGAGTTTCATTACTAACCCATTTAAGCATGTCTTGGCTTCTTTCATTTAAGGACATTTAGATCAGTGTGTATGTTTATAACTGCCATGAAGAAGGGAGTCTGAGAAAAGTATACTCCTGAAGTTAAAAAAAAAGATAAAGTAGAAAGAGAATTATAAGCAGAATCTCCACTGATTTACTGCTTTGTACTTTTCAAAGCAAACTTAGTTCTAAGTCATTACTCACATCCCAAATACAAGTCCTGAGCACACAAAACCTAAACATAAACAATTGGTTAATGTAAGAGGATAATGTTTCTTAATCTAGTGGGGAAACTATTTTTGAAGAAAGCTTAATGCAGTACTGTGTATATGTATGCATATATGTCTACATATGTACATATGTGTGTATACAAATATTACATTATTTTATTAAGCTTTCATACCTATATGTGTGTGTGTCTATAACCCAAAGCAAGAAGTCTCAAGAGCTCAATGAGCCTCAACACCTAAAGATTCCTGAAGAAGACTTGAAACTTGAAGAGGACTGAAAAAGACTGGAGCCCCTCATATATAACAGGACATTCATCTCCACAAATACAGAGAGAGTCCCACAGCAATGGGCTCTGGAATAGGGGTTATATATGTGTGTGTGTATGTATATGTGCATACATGTGCATATATGAGTGTATCATTTTCACATATTGCACACACACACACACATATATATATATACAGATAATAATTATATTTATATTATATACATATACATGTAAATTTTCCAGGTCTATGCTAATTGTGACTCACATACCAATGAGTTGAATCACCAAGTGATATAAGCAGTGCCCATGAGGTCCTATATACCAGCAACTGTATGTGATCAAGTCAGATCTCATTTCTAGTTTCACAAAAAAAATTATCAAGGAAAACTGCCTTGATATTCTAGAATCAGAGGGTAAAATAGAAATTGAAAGAATCTACCCATCATCTCCTGAAAGAGATCCCAAAAGGAAAACTCCCAGAAATATTATAGCCAAATTCCAGAGCTCCCAGGTCAAGGAAAAAATATTGTAAACAACCAGAAAGAAAGAATTCAAGTAATGTGGAGCCAGTCAGTATAACAAAAGATTTAGTAGCTTCTATGTTAAATGATTGGAGGGCTTGGAATATGATATCCCAGAAGGCAAAGGAACTAGGATTATGACCAAGAATCACCCAATAAAACTGAGAATAATCCTTCAGGAGAAAAAATGGATACTCAAAGAAATTGAGGACTTTTAAGCATAACTAATGAAAAAAGCAGTGCTGAATAGCAAATTTGACTTTCAAATACAAGATTCAAGAGAAGCATGAAAAGGTAAATAGGAAAAGGAAACCATATAGCACTTAATAAAATTAAATTGTTTACATTCATACATGGGAAGATACTTGTAACTCATAAGAACTTCTTTATTATTAGAACAGTTAAAAGGAGTATATATAGACCAAGGACACAGGTTTGAGTTGAATATGATGGGATGTTATTTTAAAAATAAAACTAAGAGATGAGAAAGAGAAATGCACTGGGAGAAAAGGAAAGGGAGAGATAGGGTGAGGTAAATTATCTGACATAAAAGAGGCATGAAAGCTTTTGCAGTGGAGGGGAAGATGGGGGAAGTGGCAGGAAATACTCAAACTTTACTTTCATTGGAAATGGCTCAAAGAGGGAATAACATATGCACTCAATTGGGTATAGAAATCTATCTTACCCTACAGGAAAGTAGGAGAGAAAGGGAATAAGAGAAGGTGGCATTCTCATTGAAGGGAGAGCAGATTGGAGGAGGTGGTAGTCAGAAACAAAACACTTTTGAAGAGGGACAAGGTGAAAGGAGATAGAGCATAAAAGGGGGAAATAGGATGGAGAGAAATACAGTTAGCAATCATAACTATGAAAAAAATTTGAAGCAAGTTTCTCTTGTCAAGTCCTCATCTCTCAGATATATAGAGAAATGAGTCAAATTTATGGGAATAAGAGCCATTCCTCAATTGGTAAAATATGAATAGTCAGTTTCCAGATGTACTTATCAAAACTGTTTATAGTCATATGAAAAAATGCTCTAAATCACTATTGATTGGAGAAATGCAAGTTAAAACAAATTGAGGTACTACATCATACCTATTAGATTGTCTAATAGGATGGAAAATGAAAATGATAAATGCTTCAGGGAATAGGGGAAAATTGAGACACTAATACACTGGTGGTGGAGTTATAAACTGAATCAACCCAAAGGCTTATGAAACTATTCATACTCTTCAGAAAAGATAGAAAAACTAAAAGGAAAAGGACCTATAATTACAAAAATGTGTACAGCAATTCTATTCTAGTGACAAAGAACTGAAAATTTAGGGGATACCCATCAATTAGGAAATGGCTGAACAAGTTGTGGTATATGATTGTGATGGAATACTATTGACTGTAACAAATGATGATCTAGATGCTCTCAGAAAAACCTGGAAAGACTTACATGAGTTGATTCAGAATGAAATAAATGAGTAGAACCAGTAGAACCAAAATGTACACAGTAATAGCAATATTGTAAAATGATTAACTATAAATGACTTAGCTGTTCTCAGCTATACAATGATCCAAAACAACTCTGAAGGACTTATAATGAAAAATACTATCCATCCCCAGAAAAAGAACTGATGGAGTTTGAATACAGATCGAAGTATACTTTTTTTTTTTTTACTTTATATTTCTTGGGTTTTTTTTTTATATTGGTCTATGTTTTCTTTTACAACATGATTAATATGGAAATATGTTTTGAATGACTACACATGTATAACCTATATCCAATTGCTTGCCTTCTCAATGAGACAGGTGGGAGGGAGGGAGAGAATTAGGATCTCAGTTTTTGAAATGAATGTTGAAAATTGTTTTTGCATTTAATTGGAGAAAAAATAAAATGTTAAATTAAAAAAGAAGTCCTAAAAAATTTAACATTGTATTTCCAACACTGTACTGCTTTGACAAGCATCTGAGTCACCTATTATTACATTTAAGACAATATATTAGTCAATGAAGGTACAAACACATTTTTAAATCATCCCTTGACCATAACAAATGAATTATTCTTTTTTAAATTTTTTTTATTTTTAGTTTTCAACATTTACTTCCACAAGATTTTGATTTCCAAATTTTCACCCCATCTCCCCCCTCCCCCCACCCCAAGATGGCATGCATTCTAAATATCCCTTCCCCTAGTCTGCCTTCCCTTCTATCTCTCCCCCCCCCTTCTCTTATCCCCTTCCCCTTCAATTTTCCTGTAGGGCAGGATAGATTTCTGTACCCCATTTCCTGTATTTCTTATTTCCCAGTTGCATGTGAAAACATTTTTTAAAGCACATGTTTTTAAAACTTTGGGTACCAAATTTTCTTCCTTCCTCCCTCACCACCCACCCTCATTAAAAAGGCAAGCAACTCAATATAGGCTATACATGTGCAGTTATGCAAAACACTTCCATAGTAGACATTCTGTGAAAAACTAACACTATTTCCCTTAATCCTATCCTGCCCCCCATTTATTCTATTCTTTCTTTTGACCCTGTCCCTCCTCAGAAGTATTTGCTTCTGATTACTCCCTTTCCCAATCTGCCATCCTCTCTATCATCCCCCTACTCTCTTGTCCCCTTCCCTTCCTATTTTCCTGTAGGGTAAGACAGATTTCCATACCCAGCTGACTGTGCATGTTATTCCCTCCTTAAGTCAAATCCTATGAGAATAAGAATCACTCATTCCCTCTCACCTTCCCCCATTTACCCTCTACTCTAAGAGTCTTTCCTTTTCTGTTTTTTTTTTTGTGAGATAATTTACCCCATTCTACCTCTCCCTTTCTCCTTCTCCTGTATAATCTTCTCACCCCTTAATTTTATTCTCCAGATATGACCCCTTCATCTTCAACTCACCCTGTGCCCTCTATTTATCTATCTATAGCTATATCTATATCTATATCTATATCTATATCTATATCTATATCTATATCTAT